CGCCCAATTCTTATTGAATTCTCAAGGGAGTGCTGCCGCCACGGCGAGACACCTGAAGCCCAGATCAGATTTGATACCTGAGATTAAGATCGCGCCGCTCAACGCCTTGGAACCCGACGCCGCCCAGTACAGACAGCCCTGCTCTGAATACGGGCCATCTTTTTTTCCCTCGTCGTTTCTTTTTTTTCTTTCCTTTTTCCACCGTTTGCTTATTCCCCCTTCGCTGTGGCTGATGAGCGACGCGGTGCCCGGAGGTCCATGTACAGTACACGCTGCTAGTACCACCCAACGCTGTACTGTCCAGTACCTGTCCAGTACCCAATATGACGGAGACTGCTAGCTTCACAGCGGCTCGTTACGCCAGTTCCACAGCCGCCAGCCTCCCAGGCAAAACACTCGCAGCGCCTCCCGCCTCCATCACCGGCCCCTCGTCGAACCTGCACTCGCATCGCCAGAGCCACAATTCCTCCAAGCTGCCGTCCTTTCGCTTTGCTGACATCAAGAACGCTCCCGCTACCGCGAGTCCCCAGTCCGCCAAGCAGCCGCTCTCGCTGTCCCCCCGACGCCTCACAGCCCCTGTTGGCTCGATCGATTCGCAGCTCGAACGACGAGACTCCAAGACGCGATCCGACGCCGCGACAAAGGTCCTGACGCCTTCCGCCTCTGCGCGCAATCGCCAGTCGCTTCCCGCGTCCATCAAGACTGCGGAAACAGTCGTGTCGCCTCCGCGCCCGAATCTGCGCCCTCGAGCCTCGTACCAGATTAAGCCCTCAATCATTGAACAGGAACGAAGAGTCAGGCGCCCCGTGTCGTTTCCCGACGGCCTCGCTGAAGAAGCTGTACAGTCGATAAAGGCCTCTAGTGTCGCGCGCTCCTCTTCTGTTAAGCAGAGCGCTCGCCGTTTGCCGGCATCCCGCAGCTCAAACGCCAACGGCAGAGTGACGCCCGACGGCCCGCGAACGTCACTCAGCGCTCGCCGTTCTGCCATCGAAGAAGCAGTCTCTCCCACATCTCGAGTTGTCCCGGAGCCAAAGCCAGGCATCAAGGTACGGGCTCGGACTCTGCCGGATCTGCCATCCTACAAACCGCCGTCCTCGTCGGGCCCTTCAGATGAAAACCAGGACCAGTCGCTGCAGCGCCCACCTGTCTCTTATAAGCCGCCGGTAAACGGCGCCACTGCCGGCCAGCCTACAGCTTCAACCGCTGTTCGCGTCCCGCCCATTCGAGCTTTCCGATCTTCGGGCTCTCGCAAGAGCTCGGTAGACGACGATATGAGCTACAACTCTCGTTCCTACGACGTGGAAGATCGTTACATCGATTCAACCGACGACCACACTCTTCGCGCCCTCGATGGCGACTTTTTTGATCAGAGGAGCCCTCCCAGGCACGGCGGCGATGATACGGGTGACGTTTTCTTAAAAATTGCCTCTGAGGAGGCAGCGCGCAATGCAAAAGTCGATAGTGTCAATGACAGCAAAACTACTTCAGTAAGTAATGGCAAAGGAAGGGGGGAAATATGAATAAAAATTCTCGTCTTGAATACTTGGGGATCTAATTCGTTACTATTAGCAGTATCAGGTCAATCGCACTTCGCAGCGGCGCCCACTTTCTCAAAACGTCTCTTCTTATTACCCCATGTCCCCTCCATCAGTAAACCGCAGGCTTTCTGATCAACAAGATCAAAACCGAAGCCGCTCAGTTAGATACGAAGATGAGCTGACAAGCGAGATCGCGCGGACCACCAGCGCCTACCGCAGCCAGCTGCTCAGAGACAAAGCCGCATCCTCTCGTCCCGCCGAAGACACCCCTTCAAGAGCAAATAGCTCGGGTCTACGACCTTCACTCATGACCCCCCGAACTACAGGCCTCCAGGACCAGGCTGCGGAATCTTCTTATAGCCGAAGACGGTCGGTTGACGCCCCGGCCTCCAGCTCGGCGCGCTCATCTTCCCATAAGGCTACTGTGCTGGTTCAAACTCAGAACAAGACTTACAACCCATCACCTCTTACGCGTTCTTTCGAGATAGAAGAGGAGGACGACGACGACGATGACCCCGAAGCTGGCAACGCTGAGGGAACGGAATCGACTACATCTACCAATGCGCCATCGACTGTCTGGGACGAGCTGGACGAGCTGAAATCGCGAATCCATCGTCTGGAGTTGACAGGGAAGCTACCGCCGACCTCTGCAGCCGCGTTGATCAAAGCATCGGAGGAGAGACCGCCAACAGCAACGACAACCGTTACGACCATGTCGCTATCACCCAAGAAATCGGCAGCTGGGCAGCAGACAGATGCTGGTAGCAGTACGTCGTCACAGCGAGAGGCACACTCGAATCTACACTCGGCTCTCACCAAGATCAAGACGGTCCTCAGCCCAGAAGTGTATCGCGCGCTTGAAACCGCGGCGAATGATGCCCTTGCGTTGTCGTCCATGATGGGTACGCCTGGCCAACCTGGTCCTATATCAGGTTCTGCCAGCGTGGTCGGCGGCGGCGGTCCTGCAATTACGGATCGTCAGCTCCGCCGTAGGACAGACAGCGTCTGCCGCAGCCTAACTGAGCTTTGCATCGCCCTTGGTGAGGGGACACCCTCTCGGCCTGCACCAGCAATAATTCCGCAAGTCGTGACGACACAGATTAGCCCGAACCAGAACCACAATGCTCACCTAGAGCCACCTAGAACCCCAACCATGATGAACAGCAAGACTTATTCGGTTTCTCGTCGCTCCAGCGTCGCGCCGCCTGAGCAAGCCACCCAAATCATCACTAGCCCTAGAGCCATGTCCAAGTTTGAGGAGCGAAGGAACATGATTTTGAATGGCAGTCTTGTCACTAGCCCCCGGAATTCAGCTTCCACTCCGACAACTCCCAACGAATCTATCGCTCGCAGAGCGTCACTTATTGTGTCCCGTGCTCGCAGAGCAGTAACAGAGGAAGCGGAGGATGGTAGGCGCTCCTCTGCGCTTTTGCATCGACGGGCGGCCGGTGAGGAATCTGACGATGGTGGCCGGAGAACTTCTGCGCTTTTGCATCGACGGGCGGCCGGTGAGGAATCCGACGATGGTGGCCGGAGAACTTCATTCCTTGTCCGTAACCGTCGAGGAACCGTCGGCGAAGAAGACGAGGGATCCAGATTCCGAGCTCCCTCCCGGGCCATCACCGAAGTGAGTGGCGGGTCTAGGGGGGCTACGAAAGAATATCTTCGTGTCTCCGAACGTGCTTCTGCACGTATCTCCGATGCCCCAACTCCCGTACCGGAAGCCGACACACCACAGCCGCCCTCAGCCCTCAGCCGACGACGATTCATATCCTCGAACACGCAGCCTTCTCGCTTGACCGTTCCGACTACTTCTAGCACACCCTCAACCAGAAAGTTTCTCGAGAGGTCTCTACCAGACGGAGTCGAGAGCGGCTCTGAGAGGCCTGCCGAAAGCCGGCTTTCACGACATCTATCGGTCCAGCATAACTCGGACCGCACCTCCACCTATCATTCATTACAGAATCGAACTAGCAGCCTGCAAATTCGTCGAGCGAATCGGGACAGCATGGCTATCCCGGCCTCTTCGACCACAGCCACAAACGGCTTGAGATGACCTTAAACGACCACAAACACGTTTAGATTCATGATCTGTACCATACATAATCCATTTTCTTTTAACAAAACTCATCTGCGAGCGTTTTATTTTTATTTATTTTATTTTTCCTCTGTCTTTTTTTTGTTCACTCACTCACTCACTCTCTCTTACTGTGTCTCACTGTGTGTCTCTCATTCTCTCATATCTTGTCACTCTCTCATATTTCCTTTATTGTTCCAATCATCAATCAGCATACATGCCACACCATTTGCTTCTAGAACAACTGGCTTGACGACCTAACGACGGACGGCCTGCTCGACTTCCTTCACGGAGCCAAATTCTCTTTGTTTTCCATTCTGATCTTCTTTCCATTCGAAACATGTGTATTACCTGGTCTGTTTTTTTATTGTTGAGCATACAAAAAGCTTTTGTTTCTTTTCTTGCGGGGGGGTCGGTGTGCTGTGGCCTCGACCACACAAATATTTTTTTTCCAGGCGAAGAGAGGAGTTTGATTGATTGATTGATTTTTTATTAAACAGTGTTTACTTTTATTCTAAAGTAGTGGATTGGTTGAAAGGCAGGCCGTGAAGTCTTATTGGGAAAGGGGGGCGGGCGCAGAGTTACAATACCTCCTTTTTTTTGCTTTTTTTGTCTTGTGTCTTTTACCTTGGTTCGTTTTTTTTTTCTTTTTCGGGAGCGAGCAAAATATAGCATCAATGTGTGTGCAAATTTCTTAATAAGAGTTGGTTTTATCTATATGCGAGCCATCATGATTTTCGTGTTCGTGTTTTCCTTTTGCAATCTGTGATATATTGGAATAGCTGGATAGCTGTGGTCATTGATTGACGTGTCGCCCTGCCTTTTAGGATCATGTTCTTCTGAATATACCTGCAAGGCTAGTAAGAAAAGACTTTATTACTACTTCAATATGGAGTTGGACTCAAAACTGGCTTGACGTCGTCAGAATGCTCTTGTGCCCGACGACAGCCATTATCTCATAATGTCTGAGATGCCAGCCGCTTGGAGACATGTCTCATCTCAATAGTAATAGCCGCGGACGTATTGTGTCATGCGGTGGAAAGAAACCACTGCCAGTCTGCCCCTATAATTTGTATGGGATCGGCGGCGCTGTGTTCTTTCCACCCCTTACATGTTATAGATCCCTACCTGTCTCATTGGTCGTCTCCGAGCTAGTATTCGGCAGAGCAAGTCAAGCCTTGATCCATATACTTTATTGACCGCTGAGATGCAGTTGAATGATGTGTGATTGTCAAGGAAGAGCTTGGCTGAGACAGTAAGCCAAGACAAATATTAGTATTGACAGCAGCTGGCTGCGAATTCAACGTAAGTGAATCGCACGGATTTGGCTATATAAGATGAGCCTTTTGCCCTCTAGGTAGTCAAAACTTCTACCTCTATAGAGCCTACAGTTCTGCTGTTAAGACCAAGATACACGCAAGGTTTTCTCAGTCTTAATTCTTTTCTTCTCTAAACAAAATGAAAAAAGTCGTTACTTGGGTGACTTTGGCCTTGGGCTTGTTGCCAATCTCTGTGGCAGCTCAAGGCCAAGTCAACGTTACCATTCCCTCCGGCACCATTATGGGTAGTTCAGTTGAAGATGTCGAGTTTTTCAAGGGCATTCCTTTTGCTGATCCGCCGATTGGTGAATTGCGGTTCAAGCCGCCGCAAAGTCTGTCAACTCACCTCGGAGATTTTGACGCCACGAAGAAGGCCAAGCTGTGCTCCCAAGGACCCGTCATCAGTGCCCCTTCGAAGCCTCAAGTGGTACCTTTTGCCCTAGAAGCCGAGAGGGAGTCGTTTGGTAACCCAGTGCCCCCGGAGAACGAATCTGAGGATTGCTTGACCGTCACTATCCATCGACCTGCCGGCACCGAAGCTGGGGATAACCTGCCAGTGCTGTTCTACATATTCGGAGGAGGCTTCGTGATTGGAGGCACATCGGCGGCAATCAATGATCCCACCGTGTTAGTTCAAACCGGCATTGATCTCGGAAAGCCCTTCATCTTTGCAGCTGTAAACTACCGCGTTGGGGGCTGGGGCTTCATGCCAGGCGCCGAAATCTTGCGTGATGGAAGCGCCAATGCTGGCCTTCTCGACCAGCGCAAGGGCCTTGAATGGGTAGCTGATAATATTGCTGCTTTTGGTGGCGATCCATCCAAGGTCACTATTTGGGGACAGTCCTCTGGCTCAATCTCCGTCTTTGACCAGCTGGTTCTCTACGGCGGCGACAACACCTATAACGGCAACCCTCTCTTCCGTGCCGCAATCATGAACTCGGGATCCGTGACTCCTGTTGACCCTGTGGACTCGGACAAAGCCCAGGCGGTGTATGAGCACGTTGTCAGGGTGGCCAACTGCGAAGGCGACGATTCTTTGGGCTGTCTTAGGAGATTGCCCAACGAGCGTTTCGCTGCGGCAGCTAATGCGATTCCTGGCCTGATATCGTACGAGTCCTTGGCTCTCTCATATCTCCCTAGGCCAGACGGCACGGTCTTGACTGCAAGCCCTCATGTCCTGGCGCGAGAAGGCAAGTTCCCTGCGGTGCCGATGATCTTGGCTTCGCAGGAAGATGAGGGAACGTTGTTTAGCTTCTTTCAGGGGAACATGGGCTCCACAGACATCATCACCGACTACCTCAACAGTCTCTACTTCCCCAATGCCGATCGGAGTTTGGTCAAGTCGTTTGTTGAGACTTATAGCGAACGACTTGAAGACGGAAGTCCGTATCGCACAGGCACCTTCGAGGGCTTGCTTTCCTACCCAGGCAAAAAGAGAATCGCCTCTATCCTGGGCGACATCGTCTTCACCCTAGTTCGCCGCTGGACGCTGGAGACCATTGCCGAAGTCTCCCCCGATACGGCCCTCTGGTCGTCGTTTGCTTCGTACAACTATATGCAACCTTGGGATATTCTTGGTCTTGGGACTAAACATGGGTCAGATACCGATGTCTTTTTCGCTCGCAACAACACTTACTTTCCCTCGATTACCGGCCGGACGTATTACATCAACTTTGTGTACAACGGGGATCCCAATGATGGGCTTGATGTGAATGTCACTTGGCCGGGGTGGAAAGAAGATCGGCAGCTTCTGTGGTATAATGCGACGGAGAATGGGTATTTGGCTGATGATTTCAGGAACGGCAGCTACAACTTTATCAAGGAACATATCGATTCACTCATCTTCTAGAGCCTGTGTTCTAAAGAATATGGGAAATACTACATATGGCCAGCACCCCAGCGGCTGCATGAGGTTCGCGTGTCGGAACAGGATATGGATGAAAGGCTGCTTTATTTTACTGGCTTAATTACATGTACTCACCGCCTTTAATGTAGCTTTGAATTTGAGACACGGGATGCTTGCAAGTATTTCCCATGAATATAACATCGGGTGTGAAATTACATCTTGCTGGCATAGACTTATGATCAACAGTGCAACGCTTTGACATAACTGTTCACAAAACATAAGATTAGGTATGCTAACAGGTAAATGTAGTCAGCCGATGATGAGGCTATGTTGTGTTGGTGAGAAATTCGCAAGGCAGTTTGTATCCATGCTTTTGGTGGGCAGATTCATACCTGTAGCGGGAGGTGGCGATGAACCTTGCTGAGTCACGCCGATTTTTGTTAGGACTTCCTTCACATGTCGCACTAGAGCGCAGCCAAAACTTACTACATTTGGCTGCCCGATTCATTAAAAAACGAATGAGCATCCGCTCTGGATATTTATTTGCAGAAGTCGCTGGCAGAGTTGGTCTTACATCTTACCGTTACTTTCATTTCAAACAACATACCGGATCGCTTCCTAGTCTGATAGCGGCAAAATCTCATATTCAAGATTTCACTGCGTATCCAGCAAACTGCCTCCGCCCTCTCACACCAACATCTCACAAAGCAACGCCAAAGAGGGCACTTTTTCACAGCACAGCAAAAATGAGCGCTCTCGAGGAAGACGGCTCAAGCATCTCTGCTCAGATAGCCATCGAGGATAAGCTCGCAGGCGGAAGGAAACCAAGAGGAGGTGGCAGAGGAGGCAGAGGAGGCGGCGGCGGTGGCCAGAGCAGAGAAGTGCAGGTGTCAAAGACGCTGTCGAAGCTGTTGAGGCATCAGGCTGCAAATGCCGGCATCAAGCTTGACGCGGAGGGTTTTGCAGCTCTTGATGAGGTGGTGAGTTATTATCATTGATTTTGACATTCTTAATCTTGACAGTGGTGAAATGGTTTCTAACTATAGCTCCCACAGCTGAATTATGGTCCCATCCGGTCTCTCAACGTCACTCTTGCTGAAATCAAGCAAATCGTTGCCTCAAACGAAAAGCAGCGCTTCACCATGAAACTAAACTCATCACTCTCCGCCGAACTTGTTCCCTCAGACGACAGCGCAACCCCCTCTCAATACCTCATCCGCGCCAACCAAGGCCACTCCATCAAGATTGAATCCGCCGCCCTCCTTGAGCCCATCACCCTCGACGCCGGTAATGTGCCATCAAGGGTTCTTCACGGAACTTACTTTGCCTTCTGGCCTGCCATTGAAGAGTCTGGAGGCCTAAAGGTCATGGGAAGAAATCACATCCACTGCTCAACGGGAACGCCAGAGGAGGGCATCTTGAGCGGCATGAGGAAGGATGCAGAGTTGGTGATTGAGATTGATGTGGAGAAAAGTCTGCAGGATGGCATCCAGTGGTGGAAGAGCGACAATGGAGTATTGCTGACCGAGGGTGGAGAAGGAGGTGTGTTAAGCACGAGCTACTTCAAGAAGGTTACGGGGCGGAATATCGACGTCGGTGTGCTTTGGGAGGACGGGGAGAGATTATCAGGCCTTCCCGAGGGGATCAAGGGAAAAGTTCCGCCGGGCAAGGGGCCTAGAGGGGGGAATAACAGGAGAGGAGGTGGAGGACGGGGGCGAGGACGGCAATGAGAAAACAAGAGCAGGTATGCTATCAGCTTGGAAAAAAAATCAAAGCATGAAGAAAATATCATCAATGGTATCCTAAAAATGAGTGCTTAATGCGAGTGCTATACAAAACAAGTCACATCAACCCAACGCCAGCTTCCAGCCAACTTTCATCGCGAATAATCGACGACAACGCCAACAAACGCAGCTACGATGTCGGATTTTCCACAGGCGTGGCAGTGAAGGACCTAAAAATCCCGTCCCTGCGCTTCAGCTCCGCCGTGAAATACTCGTTCAACTGCTCTGCAATGAGCAGCTTGGCCACGTTCTTTGACATCGCTCCCGTGACATGGCCTATATCATCAGGCATACGACCGCCATTTACAAAGACAGGTTTTCCTTTAAAACTTCCTGGCTTGTTCGGGTCCTCTACAATTTCGTACTTGGGAACTCCAAAGGTGAGGCGCTTTGCGACCTCCGCAACCTGCTCCAGCAAGGAAGGCAAGTCGCCAGTATAAAACTCCCCATCTGCAGTAGCTGATGCACTTTGAGGCTCAACTGTAGCTGTAGGCTTGTCCTGGGCCGTTATCTCGGCACTTGGTGGTGGTGGTGCTAGAGGCGCACCGCCGGCGTCTCCCGGAGGCATGGCCAGTGAGCTGTCACTCGCCTTTGGGCTTTTCGACACAGGAGGAGTGGCCGATTTGAGAGAAACGCCACCAGAGACTCGATTAGAAGTCGATGCTGGGGCCGGTGCTACTATAGCTGCCGGTGGTGGTCTCATAGCCCGAAGATATGCCAATGCGTGCATGGCAGCATATTGCTTAGATGCCTGCGAAAGCATGATTGTTAGCATTTTGTTTTAATCTCGCCCTGAATCTTGGCCTTCAGAGCTAGATGAAGAGCATGTATCTAAACAAAGGGAACATTGACAAACCTTCTTCGTCGCAAACAACGGTGGCTGTTGGCCTTGAGATACGCCGTGGCCCTCACAAGGGAAAATCATGTGGCTGGCAGAGGGCAGAGAGCATGTTGTCCTCCATCGCCAATGGAAATTGCCACTGATGGGGACTTCTAACCCGACATCTTCATATGTCGGAAGATGCGAAGAAGCATCTTTCTTGTGATGAAACTGAATGTGTTCTGCGTCAAGATGTAATTCAGTCACCGACTCTTATTCTACGGCTTGTCTGGGGGAGATGCTCACGCGTGAGAAGGCTCACGTGGTCTTGGGCACTGATATCCGGCTCAGGTCCCTCCACGAAACTCACAAGATGAGAGAGAGCCTGCAGTTGCGGCTTCGTTAGGGGATTGCCTTGCTGCTCTGCTTTCTCTTGGGCCTCGATCCAGAGCTTGATCCGGGCCCATGGGACGGGACAGCTTTGCGCGGCCATGATGATGTTGTCTCTGCTTTCCTTGGCAGTGGACTCAATGAGAGAGGACAAGGCAGAATAGAAACGAGCTGAAGATGAAGCTGAAGGGCGTTGCTGGGCCGCTGCAATCGGCCTAGAGTTGTTGTTGTTACGTGCGCGAGTGTGGATTTGGCTATGATTAACAACGTGTTGTTGAGTGCGATTGCGAGTGCGATTGCGCCTTGAACTTAGAGCTCTGCGACCCAGTGTAGCCGGTGAAGGAAAGGACACGCCGGACAAGGGAGGGCGAGGCTGTCGGCGCATAATAAATAGGCACTCAAGAACGAGAGAGAGATGACGATAGAAGCTCCAATGCAAATGGGCGTTAGGTTGGGTGCAAAAAACAGAGGGCGGACGAAGCCTTGCGGGCCTCCCGAGTTTACAAGTTATCGAAGCTCTGAGCTCAGCACCAAGATGATTGGCCTGGGAAAGTCAGAGCTGGTGAGGGGCATGCAGCCTGGGCCCCCTGTGCAAATCAGTGGCGCAATTAAACTCGATTCCTACAAGTTACAAAAAGCAAGGCAGAAGCTGGGAGATGCTCCGGAAAGAGAATAAAACGCTAAATGCTTGATGCTTGCATCTACCAAAATACATATGAACTTCTAGAGGTAGTAGGAGGCAGCTAACCAAGGCAGATCGCCGACTACCTCTAGCCTCATGACTAGCTCAAGCGAGCCCCGTGGGAATCAACAACATCAAATCTACGACTATGTATGTACACACTTTGTACACTGCAGCACCCCGTGTGTGCCTAAAGATACCTGCGGTCGGATGCTTTCTTGCTTCAAAGCCCCTCGAAAAAGCCCCCGTCTCCATTCTCATCGTCCTCATCATTGGTGGCCTCCTGGGCCTCCCGCATTAGCCTCCTCCTTTCTCTCCGATTAAGCGCCTGTGATATGTCTTTGTTGTCATGCTTGGATGCTGTGTCCGGTCCTTTGCCCGGTCGCTGCTGCTGCTGCCCGCGAGCATGTTGTGAGGCGCCATTGTGTCGTCGTTCGGGCACACTTGACGGGGCCGTTGGCCGCGGCCTGATTGGTGGCTGTGTATCGTCAATCTTGCCGGTATCGTCTGGTGATCTTCGGTCCCGAAGCTGCTCCAATGCGGGAGGCCCTTCGGCCAAGGCTTTTTCGATGACTGCCCACATTGGCGGTCTCTCTGCTTCTAGAGCTGCCTTTGCAGCTGCAAGCTTGCTCTCCTCCGTCTCCTCTTCGTCGGATGTCTTCTTAGCAGTGGAGCTGTATAGGCCGACGTACGTCTCGAGATGAGGGAAGTAGAGGGTATATGCTTCATCCACTTCGGCGATATGAAGGTCGTGCCGTATTTTTTCTGCCTTGTCCGCGTCGCTTTCCTGTTCCAGCTGCCGCTTCAGCTGCTTCACTAGTCTCGAGGCCTTCTTCCGCTCTAAACGAGTAGTCAGTAAAAATCCAGCAGGCCGTATGCCAAAGGAATAGCTGCATAATTGGCCTGCAGGGCTCCACGCACCAAAGAATCGAACCATGTGATATTTGGATATCATTGTGCTGCGCTTCTTCTTGTATGCCTTGTCCTCCATGATTTGCTTCTGTGACGCCAGTTCTCGCTCGAGGTCGATTCGCACATTGGCCGGCATGTCCTGGTTCCGTCGCAGGCTTCTCTCAATCGCCCTAATGCGCTTTTTGGCTCCTGAATCTTCCTGCGCCTGTCGCTTGCGGCCGATATACGACTTGTGCCTCTTTTCAGACGCCGCGCCATGCGACTCTACCTCATCGTGCTGCCGTTTGGTGCCCATTGAGGGTGGTTTCTGCGCTGAGGAATCGTAGTCTTGGTGTTACCGGTGATATCGGTTTTCCGTAAGAGTTTAATAAAAAAGGAGAGTAAGATTGGCGCAATAGACGCCTCTTTGACTCGATTTTCGGCGCTTCGTGTTGCCAAACAACTTTTTCAAATCTGGGCGCATGAATTGAAGGAAGGAAACCAGAAGGAAACTCCATAATACTTTTTCTTATCTTATCTGGCGGAAAGCCGAATTTAGACTAGCGCATTAGCACCAGCTGTCCAATCAGGGGCTGCCTGCTGCTTGTTTAGCTGCTTGTCCCGCCCAAAGCTCAAGAGCTGGCTTCCAGACGATTCAATGAGAAAGCTGCCGAGCTGATGAGCCAAGTTACGGCTGTTCTTTTGATTCCTATTTCTCTCCTGGGCTATCTATATTATTGACCCTTCCAAAGACACCATTCCAGAGACTTGGCCACCTCGGGATGCAATTTAGGGCAGGCTTAATCCCGTCTATTGTCCAGCATCAGGCCATGGCTAGAAGCGGAACGTCATCAGTGTTATGCGTTTGAGACGACCCGCCGCCAAAGGAATCCATCGACGACCAGACGCAAGTCAAGGCTGATATCAGTGGAAATTGTGATCCGATACTAGTTCTAGAGGAAACCTCGTGTATTTGGGTCCTACACTTAGCACTTTGCGACGACACTGGTGGTCGATGAATCGTCCTTGACGACGCAGCATCAAAGATGGATCGCCCCGAGCCAGGACTTGTCAAGTGGTCTCCCAGTGCCTCAATCGACAGTTTTGTGCATATTAACCTACAGCATCGTGTTGTTCAGCTCTATGAGCCCACTGGCCACGCACGCGCTGGGAGATTTGACTTTGCCAAGGTCAGCAGGCACGATGACTTTCCTCCTCTCACGACGTATGACTGGTCTCCCGAGAATCCAAATCTGCTAGCTGTTGGTACCGGCGCAGGAATCGTGAATCTCTTGAGGATTGACGATAGCTCTAATGCATATGTCGAGCTGGGGCTTAAAATGGCGCGGACTTGCCAAGCCGTTTCCTTTAACACGACTGGCCTTTTGGCCGTAGGCTTGGACCGTGTTCGAATGGACCAAAGTCTACAAGTGTGGGATGTCAACCGTCTGTCGGCCGTGACATCTTTGGGGAAAGGATTCCCTGACTGGGGGGGTCTTTCGGAACCCAAGAGAGTTGAGCCCAGTGTATCAGTTTCAAGCATCAAATTCTTTGAAGATAGTCCCCAAGTGTTGGCGGCCGGCATCAAGGGTCAGGGAGTCAGGATACACGACCTTCGTGGTAAGTAAAGCGGCAATCTTGAGAACGTATTTGTGATTCGGCGGGAAAGGTGCTTACTAGTGACTCAAGATCCCACCGGCGTCCTTACTTTTCATACCAAATGCAATAATAACCTAGCAATCGACTTTGCCGATCAAAATTACTTCGCATCCTCCGCTCTTGACCATCCCGGAGTCATGATATGGGATCGAAGAGCAACCTCTCGCCCCGTAGCCTCTCATACCTACGCTCAAGCCGTTGAAGAAGATGAGCTACCATGGGGCGGCGCCTTGCGCCTTGACACAGTTGTTGATACCGATTCCGAGTCCTCCATGGCTGAGGATAAGCACGCCCTCATTCGTTCCCTTCGTTATTGCCGTGATCATCGCGGCCTTCTCGCCGTCTTGTCCCGTACTGGTCAGCTCAAGGTCCTAGAAACTAACAAAGAACTCCCGTCGTCAGACGCCGTCCCCCACGAGGGCCCTGAGCTGCTCAAGGTACAGCGATCTCATGAAATGGATGTCTCATACCGCGACAACTCTAGAAAGAATGACAGAATCGTGTCGTTTGATTGGGTGACGCTGGGCTCACCAGCATTACGACCTAGACTTTTGGTCTTGCGAGCAAATGGAGGATTTGATATCTTGGAACAATCTTCTCGCACAGCCGATCATATTTTCAAGCTTGTGCCGTGGCAAGCCCCCCATCGTGGCCTTGAAGGTAGTTGGCAGACTCCGATGTGTGAATTTTACTACGAATGTACTAACTTGTGATCAGAGAATACACCGTACCAAGATTTAATGCGTTTTGAGGCTACACAGGCCCCAAAGATGTTCGCTCCCATCATCATTGAGAAAAATCTGTCCGACGTTTCAATATTTGGACCGCACAAGGTGAATGTTGAGGCAAGCATCGAGAAGGCTCTAGACCCAAAAACGCCAATATCAATTACTGTCGAGGCTGTGGATGAGATATCTGCGCCTTTGCCCGAGTCTTTTGAAAAGGCCGAGACGATTGCAGAAAAGCTTCGCAGTTTACGCAACTATGTACGCGATGAGAGCTCGATTCCCGGTTCACCTGACGAGGGCCGGCCGCATGCCAGCGATGTGAGGCGGCTAGGTAATGGTAAACCTGGCTCCGCATCCATTAGCTCTAATGGGATTGGCTCTTGTAGAGAAATCCATGAAGCACTCCTCGGCACTCTTTCATCCTCGTCTGGGCTTCCCAGAGAAGCACAAGCTGTGGTGGACCACGTCAAGCTCTTTCGTGCCAAGGAAAGATATCTGTTCGATGCTGTCACCAATAGGAATGTGACATCAGATGACCCTTGGAAGAGATTCGTCTGGGATTGGATTGGTGGTGAGTTTGGCAAGATGTGCACATAATTTTCAATCTCAACTGACCAAGTATATTCCAGATGCGGAGCGAGCGGCAGATGATGGCGGTTTAATGCTCTCTCACGTGGATCTCAGTTACTTGGGAGTGCATGCAATATGGACGAACAATCTTGGTGAGCAGCATCATTTGAATGAGATCCGATTATCCGCCAATCTAACAGATTTTGTCTTTGCAAATAGGCCGAAATCCAACATCTCGCCTGTCTGCAGGTGCCCACGTTCCCGATGCCTATACGTGGGAGCGTTCCATTGGGGCATATTGTAAGAAACGCCAATTGCCCAAGTTTGATGGCGTCGCGACGAGGAAGCCTCACCATCGCCAGCTATGCCTTGAAATATGCGGCTGGGGCGATGACCAGAATCATGACCCTAGCGGCCTGGATCGGGAAGCCGACCCGGAATATCCAGCCGGCATTCATACAACGGCAGCCTCCCGAGCTCTCTTCAGGGGTGACACACAACTAGCCGTGGATATCTTGAAAGAGGCTAGCCCGTCACATCCTGAGCTGCTCTTTGTCTCATTGGCTCTACAGC